TAGGACTTTTAAAAATCCACTCTAATACAGGCCTAAGAGATCTCCTAGGAGGGAAGGGCCTGGGCCTCAATGTGTGGGTTTGACATTTCTCTAAGGACTTGGCAACCTTTCCTATCTAATTCCTGATCCTCATCTCATGCTATAGACATTTGATACTGAGAAGAAATACCCTGTGGAGAGAGAAAACATTTCCATGTTAACCAGGTTGACCATATTTAGGCAAAGGCCAATGTGTAGGCACACAGTTAAAGAGGGAAATATTTGGATATTTACATGGACAGGACCAAGGAGAAAAAAATGAAAGTTCTTAGATACTGCACAGAAACTAGTAAGATAATGATTGTATGCAGCCAGAAAGGGAGCTGGGCAGTGGCCATTCCAAAATCTCTAAGAGCAACTGCCTCACAGATGTTTAACCATTGTCCTGTTTGCTACTTGTTCTGTGTATGTTAATTCTGTCTCTCTTCTAGACTGGAAGCTCCTGAGGGCCAAGCCTTATCTCCTATTGCTTCAGCTGCCTCCCTGGTGCTCAGTCCAAAGAAAAGGTTCAATACATAAATTGCGTTAAACACTTAAGAGGTGACAAACTGAAAGACTACAGTAGAAAATCAATTCCACACAATGCCAGTGTCTTAACTGTGATGAAATTTTTTTAAAACATTAAAACCAGGATTCTACGCTAAGATGAACATTGAAATTCACTGCCACTCTGGCCATGATTAATCATGTATTTTATCATGTACAAGTAATCATGTCCAAGTTTAATCATGTATTTTAGAGTAAGCCTACTTCCTTAACATTTCTTTTCTATTAAATTACATGTACTATGCTAAAGGCCAAAGCAACTTCTTAGCTCATTGAAATCTTGTGGGTTTACTAAAAACAAAACAAAACATGTTTGGCAGCTTAACAAAAACACAAAATTATGAACTAGAATTAGAACAATCATTAGGAATATGAGTTAACATTATTACACCTCACATCCATTAAACCAGAGTTTCTATAATTATGAAAGAAAATATTTCCAAATACTGTTTTATAAATTTCATGATGCAAAATAAAGGAAAAAGCTCTATCTTATTCACTACTCTTTTAAATTGAATTTTATTCTACTCTGATAGCTAAAAAAGGAATGCATGGTATTTATGCCAAAAAGAAAACTCTTTCCAAACATACATTAATCAAGGTTAATGTCTGTAGCTTTTTTTTTATCCCATAGATAATGCAGAACATCAATAAAAATGTAAAGGAACGTAGTATTTACATTGTAATTAAAATTCACAAATTCACAGTACGATACGAAAAATGTCAATGGTAGAGTGGTGCCCTCAAGTGGCATAACGATAAATTGCAATACTCTGATGGAAAAGTTAGAAACATTGTGTATAGCTGTTGCGTTTTTCAAGTTCTTTGATTAAATCTAAAAGTGTATATTATATCGACCTAGATTTCATAGGGGCTAATAATAAGTGTCCTATGCACCAGCTCAGGCTCATGGTCTACCCAAGTCACTCCTTTAACAACAGATACGAGCGGATGGTCTGGTATGTAAAGGTATGATACACTTGCCTTATTATCTCAAAAGATTAGGGGTGTGTCTGCAAAACAATGAAGGAAGTCAGATCTACTCTGATCTATTAAGGGAACAGCATTCATAACATTATAGAAATACTTTTAGAAAGTATTAAGTTTCTATCCATCTTTAACATTAACCAATTCCCTATGTTTATGGCCTAGTATGTAAAGCAGAACTTAAAACCTTACCTAACTAAAGAGCTCGGAGAATGGGTGGTGCTGATTACTGTGCTTTGCTCGCACACTGAAGGTTTAACTGTCAACACTCTGGGGAAAGAATCTAAAAAAATATGAGTTTGGTTTCCTGCTCTGTCCATGTATTAAACACAATCGCTGGTGAGCTGCTATCTTACACAGCTAAGAGGTCAATATTCTGAGGACCAAGCTCTTTCGGACAGCCACAGAGATATAGAATAGATGACAACAGAATTGTTACAATCTCAAGAAAGATCCTTGAAGTTTTTAAAATCACATGCCTGATATCAGATTGCTTTGAGAGATTTTTCTCTCTTAAAAGTAAAATGCAGAAGAAAAACTTCCATTTAATAGAGAGTTCCAATTGCAGTTATCGGGTGGTGATTAGGTAAAGTTTTACTAGGCTCCCTTTAATTATTCCTTTAACTTGAATTGTTTACAAATAAGATGAATCTCAACTGTTATTGAGTGATAATGACATACAAGGCAATGCAATATCTACAATTTATACATATATCTAGGAATTAAGTCATATTTATTTATATATGTATTCTTTGTTATATTTACCTTGGTATTTTATACATATATATGGATATCTTATTTAACCCTTATTACAATCCTATGAGGTATTATACCCATTTTGCAGATAAGAAAACTGAAGCTCAGATTAGGAACCTGCATAACCTTAACCCCACAGTTAAGAACAGGACTGGCTTTACTTCTTGACCTGTTCACCTCCAAAGCCTGTGGTCTTGACAGTGACCCAAGTCCCTCCTTTTATAAGCGATACCAAAGGACGGTCTGGTATGTAAAGGTATGATAGACTTCCTTCTAACAATCTAGGATTTTGTGAGCAGCCACATTTATGATTATTCATGATTTTAGTGGAGAGTCCTAAAATCAAATGTCTACAAAGGTCAGCAGGCAGTGAGAAGGTGGGATGCAGCTGGGTGTAAGAGACAGTGAGGAGTGGCCGACACCCGGCTAAGTGGAGAGTACAGTGTCTATTTAAAGGGGGCAGCTGCTACTGAGCCATAGCCCGTACTGGCTACATAGGAAGCAACGTTAGCATATGTTACCAAATCTTTTCATTTTTTTCAAGAGAAGATAGAAAGCTTAATTTTTAAGAGAGTTACCCATTTTAAAATTCTGACAACTAATTTAGATTAAAAAAGAAACACTATGCAGCCCAAACAAAACACATCTGCAGGCTGAATGTGGCCAGTATGTAATACGCTGTAGAGATTCTGATGATGATGATGAGTGATTCCTTTCCAAGAGATTCTAACTAGACCTGGTATCAAACGATTTGTCAGTTATCTGCACTACTGGATTCATTCTCCATATCCAGGCTTTGTCTGCCATTTTCAGCTCAAGTCACATGTTTTAAGACTAGTTCAGGTACAGGAAAGGTCCCTGACAAATTGCTTCCCAACCAACCAGCCCCCTCTTCTCCCTCATTCTCATACTCTCTCTCTCTCTCTCCCTCTCTCCCCACACACATACATACACATACGCGCGCGCGCGCGCACACACACACTACACTCACCCATCATCTCAAGTCTGAAGCTTTCAAGTTTGGTCTTCATTCATCTTATTTTATATCACTTTAATCAACTTTTTAGCCTTCCTGTGAATTCTCCTAAAATTCTTGATATTTCTCATTAGCTGAAGAAACCAAAACTGGATACGATCTTTACGGTGTGGTTTTTAAAAGCCCTGGGTCAGATTTAGGTCTTACTTTCAATGTTTCCCTAAAGGTTCTCTAGTAGTTTTCAGAAATTTATCATCCTATTCTAAATGGCTGGAAGAGTACCGCTACGATTTAAGGGAAAAAATTATTTTCAGTGAGAGTCATAAAGCATGTTCTAAGCACACCAGAAAAGTGCCAGCACCGTCACCATTCTTCATGTAAGAATTTATTGAAAACTATGAATTACAGAAAACTACTTTTTAAAATTCTGGACAGAGAGACCACTTAAAAGGTTGATTTTAAAAATAAAATAGCAGCATCAGTAACATTTACCCTTATAATTCCTATGACATATTAAGTAATAGAAAAGTGTTTCTCACACTGATTTTAAAGTTTTAAGTATCCAATGGGCAAAAGCTGGAAGAATTTAGAGCAGCCTCAAAAGCTCTGAATAAAAGAAGAGATTATGGGATAGAAATTTGTTCTTCCAAAGTTAGGCTGATTTCTTGGATCATTCTTCTCTCTGCTTTCTCTTCCTCCTGTGTTTCTGATGTACAAGTTTCTTATCCTAACTTCAGTTCCAACCAACTTTTCACTGTAGCAAATTCAAACAACTTTAAGCTAAAAATGAAGATTCATCCTTCTCTGTAAGAGATGTACTGTCCGACAGCCTTAACAGTTTTTCTCCACTACGAGAGTCTATCGGGCTGATCAAAATCAAAGGAAAAGAAGTAACTAGAGGGTCATCAACATAAGCTGAATTTTAGAAAGGAGCCCCCATTTGGTTTAAATATCTAATTTGAGGGCTGTATGACTACAGACTTTGAAAAATTCCTCCATAGAAAAGAGCCACAGAAAATTAATATCATATTTTCTTCAGTACACCCTATTCACCGCAAATGTGAATTACCATTTATTTGCATTTCACAACATTTCTAAAGCTGCAGTCATAAACAATTCTTATTTTCTCATTCAAGAAGTCCCAATCAAGTGAAGTGGAAGCAACGTCGTAATTGAAACTCTGGTATGCATAAAAATCTGACTTTTACATAATCTACCCTACTTTCTTTCTCTAGGTCATTTGGGTACTTTACTCACCTGCTGAAATGCCTTTAAATATCTTATCTGAAGACACCCTTCAAGGAGCTTTTCTATCTCTTACTAAATTCTTACTTTAATGCAAAGAGCAAAGTGAACAATACTCCATGTTCTTTTTTTTTTTTTTTTTTTTTTTTTTTTTTTAAATATTTTATTTTTTCCTTTTTCTCCCCAAAGCCCCCAGTACATAGTTGTATATTCTTCGTTGTGGGTTCTTCTAGTTGTGGTATGTGGGACGCTGCCTCAGCGTGGTTTGATGAGCAGCGCCATGTCCGCGCCCAGGATTCGAACCAATGAAACACTGGGCCGCCTGCAGCGGAGCGCGCGAACTTAACCGCTCGGCCACGGGGCCAGCCCCTATACTCCATGTTCTTAATCAGCTAAAAGCTGCACATACATAGCAGCCAACTCAAGATTTGTATAAAGTGTTTTTACTTACAATTCCTCCCCTTGTTTGGCTTTCTTGTCTGAAACCAGATAGACAGTTCCAAAACTTCCACTGCCAAGTTTCCGCTGAAGCACATATCTTCTTGCAATCAAGGTCTTTGGATAAGTGGAAATGGCTATTGATCCACTCGCACAGTTAGCAGCCTCTTGGAATTTCAGCATGGCTCCAAACAAGAGAGAACTGGTTTATTTATTTATAGAAACTTAACTTTCAAGTCTCCTAGGAGATGGCCAGATTCATCCAAGTTGCATCAGTCAATGCCTTAAAGATGAAAAGTCCAGAGATCAGGTCTAAAGGATGCTGAACTATTCCTAACAAAAAGCCTAAGTTTTTGACAGTCATATTTGGACTTTGATTAGTGCATTGAATGACACCTTACTGGCTAACTTTAACAACTTGAGAGAAAAACGTTAAAAGGTGGAGATACTGCAAATTCCAATAGAAGGCAGTCTTTCATAGGAAGAGAGCCTTCATGCATCCAAATTTGGCAAAACCGAGTTACAGTCAAATTTCCCAAAAGTTCTTGGATGTATATATGTTTTCTAATCAACACTTTAAGATTTATACTCCCCACCTACTTTTTAAAAAACATCCAAATATTCGAACATTACCATTTTCTTGAATTTATATATCTGCATCAACCTTTTTGGTAATTCTTTCTTTCCATCTTATGTCTATTTTGATTAACGGATAGTGAGTTAGGATTAAACCAGAAATTAGCATCACGCTGCTTTCTTTATTTCTTCCTGTAGACTTTAAACCATGGTATTTGCATTTATTAGAACAGATATGAAGAAATCTAAGGATTCAGAATGAATTTTTTCCCATCCTAAACAGATTCTAATCCAGTGTCTGAAGTTTCTATTATATACACTGCGAGTAGAGTAATCTCCCCGGATTGGAAACAAGAAATGTCACAATACAATTCAAATCTAAAATTGTATTTCAATGTTAGTTGAATATAAACATGTTATAGGTAAATCTTTAATTTCTCAAGGAGCTGAATTATGAAAGGCAGGACTGTTTCATATGAGCATGTGCATGGTAAAATCACTTTTATTTCATCAAAACATAAAATGTTTTGTTAGTAATCATGAAAAGCAGGTTTTGTTTTAAAGCTAGATGAAAATATGATTTTAAATTGAAGACTGTCTATGCCTTGGAGTTAGGTTTCCATATTCAGCAATTCCAAAGCTATAAGACAAAAACCTATTGTGTATAATGATAAAACAAGATGCTCCCTGTGTCATTCGGAGCACACGGCCAATGGGCTTCACATGGTGGTAGCAATTACAAAAATCCTCAAAATAAAACATAAACAAGTAAATGTCCATTTACGGCATTTTCCTTCTTGGAATAACGTATTAATCAGCTAAGTTTACCTGATGCCAGTGAGGAGACTAATAATCAGCTTTTTTTAAAAAAAAAAAAAAAAAGAAAGAAAGAAACCAAATCACCTGAGTGGTTATGTGCTCACGACAATACTAAAACAACACTAGCATTGGGTTGGAGCTTCAGAGCTTGAGCCCATACCTCAAAATCCCTGAATAAATAAAAAATTGTGAGGGATTATCAAGATCACAGAAAATAGCGAAATCTAACGCTGAAAAAACAACTGGAGAGCAAGCCTCCAAATGTATCTTTTGTTTGCTTTCCTCTGCTCGTGTAAAAATGATGCTTTCTGGCCAAGTTAAGCTAAGAAAAATGTATGGACTCACAGCCTTTTTCAGCTGAAAAGGACTCTTCAGATCACTAATTCTCCTTGTTTTAGAGACGAGATAAACGTCTCTGTTTAGCGAAAGACAGAACAGTTCTGAGAAGTCCAATTTCCAGAGGTTCCTGTTTGTAAACGAGCTTCAACCCAGCAGTGCCTCAGCAGCCTGGCCCCGGCCCCCGAGTATTCTGGGACCAGGTGCCCCCTCGCCAACCTCCCAGACTCAGCCCTGCCGCCCCGTTCCCTGTCCGCCTTTAGGCCATCGGTTCTATTAGTCTCCTCTGTGCGACCACAGAGCGTCCCAGGAACGTACCGCGCCGGCTAGATTCTAGAACTTCCTGCTCACTTGTCAATGGCCCCTCACCTCCACCTGACAACGGTTGTGAACGTACTTGAGCGCCGGGAACACACCTTCCTTATCTTTGCATCCTCGGTTCCCGGCGTATAATAGGTGCTCAGTAAACTTTGTTGGGGGCAAAAAAGCGTCCAGCAGACCAACTGCTGCCCAAGGGACAAAAAAACGTGTGCGTGACGGCGGAGGGGAGAGAAGATTTAGAAAGTCGCATGGGAACTGGGAGAAAGGCGAGATACGGCCCTGTGCAAAGTGGCCTTTGGAGGTGAAATCGATCTGGCTGGGGGCAAAAGAAAAGGAAAGGGGAGCGGTTATCACAGGTTGAAGCCAAGTAGTCCTCTTCCCCGGAAATAATAAACGAGAGGAAGCTGACTGGACACAGATTCGGCTAAAATAGAAATCTAACCCTAAAGGTAAACTTTAACCCTAAGTAAAATGAACAATTCCTTGCCTCAACTTTTTTTAAAATTTACATTTCCGTAAAGCGCGTTAACAAACATCGAAGGGGCATCAGCAACACTTATTCTCCGGAGACTGGAGCAGATCCGGGAGGTAAGGAGACGAGGGACGTGAGGTGGTCGCGGCCACGGCGGCCCCGAGATGCGGACCCCTGCCGGAGCTGCCCGAAACCACCACCTTCCCCGGCGCCCGGAGCCCGGCACGCCCCGAGGAGCGCCTGCCGCGTACCTTTCCGGGTCGAGGGCGGAGGGGCGGCGGCGCCCGAGGCACGCCCAGAGCCCGACGGTGACTGGGACGTACGCCGGCCGGCCTCGGCGTGGGGCAGCGTCACCCGGCGCGCTGCAGGACCACCGCCGGCTGTTGGGCACCGTTGCCAGGGAGACCGCGCGGGGCATGCTGGGAAGTCGGGGCGAGGCGGAAGTGTGCGCCGGCCCAAGGGGGCGGGGAGAAGAGAACAGGCCGGGCAGGTCTGGCTTTTCTAACCTGATAGAAGCCGTTTCATAGCGTAGTTTTTTAGCGACCTCGTTGCTCTAGGGCCAGAGCACCTGACCCCCGGCGCAGTCTGGCGCTACTGGCTTCAAGGAACCGGGCTTCCCAGTGACGTCATACCAGAAACTTCCGGTTCCCGCGTTTGGAGTTGGACTGTCACGTGCCGGGTCTTCCAGTGCTCGCTTGGCTCCTGCGGGCTTCTAATCGAGGGGCTGGTCCTCTGGGAGGACCGAGCAGGTGGGCTCTGCTGCTGGACCGGGTGGGTTGTGAGGGCCCCGGTGGCGCCGTGTATAAAGGCCTGTGTTTGAGGACTTGGATCATAGCTTTTGTGCTCCTCTCTCCTACTAAGCATACATTTGTTGAACAACTACTCTGTGCATAGTCTTGTAATTAGCTTAGTATGAGTTGAGTCTCTGCTCGCTAAAGCTTTACGAGACAGACCTATAAAGAAATATTTACTGTATAGGATAAGGTGCTGAGAGGGCCAAGGCTAGGGTGAAATGAGTTGGGCCTAAAGGCAAGGGGATGCCCCCAAAACTCTGTAATCAAGATAAATAAATTTTACTGCAATTCTTTAAAAATCAAAATTAATGCAAAAAAAATCCATGCTTGACAAAATCTCACAATTTTAAACAAAGACAGGATCCATAACAGTGCCATGCTGAGTCATATTGGAGCCTGAGACCAAAGGAAAAATTAGTAATTCTGATCCTGTGACTTAAGTTAGCCATATTGGAGAGGATATTTTGTAACAGGGCCTGATATGCAAAGACAAGAAAATGAAAAGAGCTTCTGATTGGGATGAAGCTGGAGAGTTAAGTCCCTCAAGGCATGAAACAGTCGTTTTCCTTACTCAAAACTATGCCAATTAGGATGGGCCCACAAGCCAAGGACTGAAAGAAGGTCCCAGAAAAACTGGATCCATATCATTGACCCTACGCACTTTAGATAACTGAAGCCCAATGCCTTCTGATTTATTAATTATGAGATTGAGGAGGATATCATTTTTATAGCTTAGGATGTTTTACTTTGACTCCACAAAACAAATATTCTGTTTTGTAAGATGGTGAGTATTATCTCTCTCAATATCAAAGTCCACAGAAGTTCTTTATTAGTGTCAGTAATGGATTTTAACTGATTTTTATTTAGAATCTTCAGCAGCCTTCATCCCTGTTCAAAGATCAAACTCCATAAAACCATCGAGTTTGTGCCTTATAACACAGGAGAAAAGCAGAAGAGAATAAAAAGGCACTCAGCTAGCCAGTGTTGCCTAAGGAACTAGGTAAGAATTGAAATGCTCATGTCTAGCAGTTCTATTTAAAGAGTTCTTCATAACATTTGCCTTGATTTTATGGTGCTGGAAATAATAACCAGCATCAACTGAAAGTGTGTTCTGTTGTTTTAAACAGGTAATTCTTCAGACAGTTGTCATGGGTATTCGAGGACTGATGAGTTTTGTAGAAGATCACAGTAATGAGTTCTTCATTGATTTGAAGTTGCGAGACACAAAAATTATCATTGATGGCTATGCTCTCTTCCACCGGCTTTGCTTCAATTCAAACTTGGAGCTTCGGTATGGAGGGGACTATGATTCTTTTGCAGATGTTGTACAAAAATTCTTCGAATCACTGTTTGCTTGTAATATATGTCCATATGTTGTATTAGACGGAGGATGTGACATTTCAGATAAAAAGCTTACAACTTTAAAGGACCGAGCTAGAGAGAAGATCCAGATGGCCCATTCCCTTTCTGTTGGTGGGGGTGGATATGTCTGTCCCTTACTCATCCGGGAAGTATTCATACAGGTTTTGATCAAGCTGCACGTATGTTTTGTCCAGTGCTTTTCAGAAGCAGATCGGGACATTATGACACTGGCTAATCATTGGAATTGCCCCGTGTTATCATCAGATAGTGACTTTTGCATTTTTGACCTGAAATCTGGGTTTTGCCCATTGAATAGCTTTCAGTGGAGAAATATGAACACTCTTAAGGGCACACGAGAGCACTATATCCCTGCGAAATGCTTTTCCCTGGATGCGCTCTGCCATCACTTCAGCAGGATGAATAAAGCTCTACTACCTCTCTTTGCGGTGCTGTGTGGAAATGACCACATTAACCTGCCCATCATGGAGACATTCTTAAGTAAAGTACGTCTTCCTCTTGGAGGCGCCAGTTCTAAGGGGAGGAGACACCACCGAGTTCTGGGACTTCTGAATTGGTTGTCTCAATTTGCTAACCCCACTGAAGCACTAGATAACGTTCTCCAATATCTCCCCAAAAAGAATCGAGAAAATGTTAAGGAACTTCTCTGCTGTTCCATGGAAGAATACCAGCCATCCCAGGTGAAGCTGCAGGACTTCTTCCAGTATGGTGCTTACGCCTGTCCAGACGCCTTGAACCTGGCTTTACCGGAATGGGTACTGGTGGCTTTGGCCAAAGGTCAGCTATCTCCTTTCATCAGCGATGCTTTGGTGCTAAGACGGACCATTCTTCAGACACAGGTGGAAAACATGCAGCAACCAAGTGCCCACAGAATCTCTCTGCCCATCCGGCAAACCATCTATGGGCTGCTTCTGAATGCTTCTGCACATCTAGAAAACACGTCCTGGAATGCACTGCCTCTTCAGCGTCTAGCTTTCAGCGAAGTGGAAAGGATTCATAAAAATATCAAAACATCAATTGTTGATGCGGTAGAAGTGCCCAAGGATCATTCGGACTTAAGCACATTGACTGAGGTAAGTGTTTGTAATACTAAGGTAATTTTTGTAAAGCACTTTACGAAAATTTTACTTTACACATTATATTATCTCTCTTAGTATAACCATCTGAGGTTGGTTGCTATCTTGTCCCCATTTCATAGCTGAGAAAACTAGGACTGAAACTAAGAAACTATGTCATACCCCAGCCAGAGAGTATCAGTACTAGGACTCAAACTAAGTAACTATGTCATACCCCAGCCAGAGAGTATGAGAGCTAGGACTCAAACCTCGATCTTTTTAGCTCCACATCTGCCATTTCCACTGTACTTCAGTAGTATGTGTTGCCTTCACAGTTAGTACTACTACTCTGTTGATACTAGCTGCCAATAGAGTGGGGTTATGTAGCTAAAAAAAAGAAAAGGAAAAAATTCTGGACTGCAAAAAAAAAAGTATACCTATAGGCATTGATCATAGGCATAATTAATATCTCAGACTGCATCAGATTTCAATTAACAAGATTAATACTGATGCTTGGGTCTAATTTTTCATTTTTATTGATGAGGATTTTTTTTTAGGCTTTATGTTTATGGCATCATGGTCATTTGCTTAGTTTGATACTGAAAACATGACTCTTAAGCCTATCTCAGTGTTGCTTAAACCTGAGTAACACGCAGACCAATCCCCTTTTCGAGGTAAAAAAAAAATTCTCATGGATCCCAGAGCTTACTTTGTTTTTTATAATATTACATAAATATATTAAAAATCACAAAGCTGTAAAACTGCTTATGTTAACACAATTAACTCTACAAATTAAATGCAGATAAATGGAACAATACTGATTGCAGTGCTCTGCGGGGGTTTTTCTCAGCACTAAATACTCAGGCCACTCTTCTCAGGGGCATGGGACAGCAGCCATAGCGTCCCAGCAGCTGTGAATCGGGCTCTGCTTTTCTGTGGGAGTCCTTGCTGCTGTCTGCACCACTGGTTCTCCACTGGGGGTGATTTCGCCCCCGGGGGATATTTGGCAATGTCTGGAGACACTTTTGATTGTCACTACCTGGGCAGTTGGTGGGGGTGGTATGTTGCTACTGGCATCTAGTGGGGAGAGGCCAAGGATACTGCTCAACATCTTAGAATGTGCAGGACAACGCCCCATAACAAAGAATTATCCAGCCCCAGATGTCCATAGCGTAGATCCCTGGCCTACACGGCTGACCAGGAACTAGCCTCTTTAGCCTCTCCATTAGTGACAGCTCAGCAGGAGCTAACATCCGTGCCCATCTTCCTCTGCTTTATATGTGGGACACCTGACACAGCATGACTTACCAAGTGGTGCCATGGCCGCACCCAGGATCCAAACTGGTGAACCCCAGGGCGCCAGAGTGGAACGTGCGAACTTAACTGTTGCACCACTGAGCCAGCCCCCTGATTTTTCCATTTTATAGCTGATGGGCATTTGGGTAGTTTGCAGTTTGGGTTGTTACAAATAGGGCTATGAACATTCTAGTGTACATCATTTAGTTAAAATATGGACCCTTTTTTTTTTTTTTTTTGAGGAAGATTAGCCCTGTGCTAACTGCTGCCAATCCTGCTTTTTGCTGAGGAAGACTGGCCCTGAGCTAACATCTGTCCCCATCTTCCTCTACTTTATATGTGGGACGCCTACCACAGCATGGCTTGCCACGCAGTGCCTTGTCCGCACCCAGGATGTGAACTGGCAAACCCCGGGCTGCCAAAGCAGAACGTGCCCACTTAACCGCTGCGCCACCAGGCTGGCCCCGAACCCATTTCTATTGCATATGTACCTAGGAGTGGAATTGCCGGGTCATAGGATATCCATGTGTTCAGCTTAGACGATATATTGCCAGATGGTCTTGCAGAGTAGTTTTGTCAGTATTCCCACCAGCAGATTATGAGAGTACCACTTACTTTACACCCAGGGTCATATTTGGTATTTTCTACCCTTTTTAAAATTTTAGCTAATCTGATGGTTGTGGCATCATTTTAGCCAATTTACTGGGTATTAATTTGTATTTCTCTGATGACTTATTTGAGCACATTTTCATGTATTCATTGGCCATTTGGATATTGTTATGTAGGTTTCTGTTCAGTCTTTTGCCCATTTTTCTGTTGGCTTTTTATTTGTGTTTAGATTCTTTGTCAAATAACATGTATCATGAATAGCCTCTCCCATTCTGTGGGTTGTCTTTTCACTCTAGTATGCTTTGATGAACAGAAGTTCTTAATAAAGTCTAATTTAAGTTTTTATTATTTATGGTTATCACTTTTGTGACCTACTTAAGAAATTGCGTACTTCAGGGTCATGAAAATTGTTTTTGCTTTTCACATTTAGATCTGCAATCTACCCGAAATTGATTTTTTTGTGTATGATGTGATATGGGGATCAGAACACTTTTCCCCCACGTGAAAATCCAGTTGAGTGTACCATGCTGATTACATTCCTTGCTAAGTAAAGGTGACAAGTGTTCTCATCACTTACCTGTATTCAAAGTAGGGTGAAATTTCAGTTCATTCTCTGTGCACTGATAGCATTGGCTTTCCCTTGACATAAACTAATCAATTCTGTCTTTAGCTCAGTGTTGTTAGCTCTAATGAGGCTATGATAACATTAAACAGTATCAGGAGCAAATGTGATGCCAAAGACAAATGCGTGTACAAGGATAGAAACTTTGTGACAGTATCTGTTCATTTGGTTTTTCTTTAACATGATGTGGTAAGAATACTTTGATTATCTGCTTTGTGCCAGCTGTTGTAATTGAAACTTTATATAATCTCTCATTTAATTCCCACAGTTAGCACATAGGGTGGGGTTTCCATTTTGGTTATGTTAGTTGCAGTGGACAGAGTGCCACTCAAGTTAACCAACGTGAGGTTAATCGTAAGGAGAGATGTAAGTGGATCATTCTTGGGGAGTAAGGCAGTGCCCAGACCAGCCTCTTTCTGGCAGTTTCTTCAGCAGGTTTGTGCTTTCCCTGCCCCGGAGGGAAGGGAAAGGAGTTGTCACGTGGGATAAAACCTAATCAGATTTAAGGGCTGTGAGCAGACTAGTTCCCCTTTTGAAAGGGGCTAAGAACTGGTGGGTTCCATGAAACGTCTTGTGTAACTCATTATACTGCCCATTTTACAGATGATTAGACTGGTTGTAGAAAAGTTCAGAAACTTGTTCAAGAACACAGTTAGGGAGGAACAGAACATCTCTGAAGTCAAAGCCCAGACTCGGCTTTGTTCAGAAAAGTTATAACATGGCTAGAGAATGCCATAATTTAAGCGTTATGTCAGAAAAGAATTCACATGTTTTCTTAGCTTTACTTGGTGCATTTCTCTACCAGTTTAGGAGATTATAAAGAATAGTTTTTGTTTTATTTTAAATTTAAGTAGTTAATGCTACTTCTCATGGGGGTGATTGATTATACTATAAAGCACTTTGTATATTTCTAATTTCAAAAATTTTACCACTGTATTATTAAAACCAGTAATTATAAATCATTGTATTTAATGCTCTCATGCATTGATGAAACTATTTTGTCAATTATGATGTGTTTTACTTGAGGTTAACATCTCTATCCTCAGCTGTCAACATACTTATTGACTACTAACTAGGTGTTAGGTGCTAAGAAAGAAATCCTTTTCTGGCTGCGTGCAGACACTAGTAATACAACTGTTTTTTTTCTTTAAAGTTTGTTTGTAAAGTCTCCCTGAGGAGTCCTTTTTTTTCTTTTTTTTGAGGAAGATCATCCCTGAGCTAACATCTGCCACCAATCCTCCTCTTGTTTTGCTGAGGAAGACTGGCCCTGAGCTAACGTCCATGTCCATCTTCCTCTACTTTATATGTGGGACGCCTGCCACATGACAAGCAGTGTGTAGGTCCACACCCGGGACCTGAACCGGCAAACCCCGGGCTGCTGAAGTGGAACATGTGAACTTAACCACTGTGCCACTGGGCCGGCCCCCAAGGGGTCCTTTTAATAGTCCTCATTTCCTTATCTGTAAAGTGTGTGACCTGCAAGGTTTGTTATGGTTCTTCAGTCTTAAGATTCATTAAGGTAAAATTACTTCAACAAGAAGCCCGAAGCTCTCATAGCTGTTTACTTCCTTTCATTTGAAGTGCGCTCTCTAAAGCATGGAGCAAAAGTGAGTATGGTGTATTTCTGTAAGCACGATACAGGTAGTCCTTAAATGTGCCTAGCTCTTTTGAATATGCTTCTGACCTACAAGTAGCCACCCTGGGACAATTGCTGTGTGGGAGAACACAAAGACAGTCAAACCATTCAAGGGGTGGGACATGAGACAGGACCCAAACAAGCAGAAGGAGGTATGATATGCTGCAAAGGGCGCATGTAATCTGTTTGCCTTCTTCTGGAGGTGATCAGTAATGGCATCATGGAGAAGGTGGGGCCTAAACATTCACTGGCAAGTAAGGGTAGGGTTAAATATAGATCTTTGTGTCCCAAAGCAGAATAGTTAAAATGCAGATTCCTGGGGCGAGCCCATGGCTGGGTGGCTGAAATCCTCTGGGGTTTGTGGGTTCAGATCCCGCGTGTGGACCTACTCCACTCATCAGCCATGCTGTGGAGGCATCCCACATACAAAGTAGGGAAAGACTGGCACAGATGTTAGCTCAGGGCTAATCTTCCTCAACCAAAAAAGAAGAAAAAAGAGAAAAGAGGAGGACTCAGGGTGAATCTCCCTCACAAAAATAAATAAATAATGCAGATTCCTGGGCTCCCCTTGGATTTACTGAATCAAAATTTAGGGGGTGGGGCCCGAGGACTGAATTTTTAACAAGCTTCCCAAGTGACCTGTGCACTGAAGATGCTCACCAGCCTGCGTGGAGGATGGAATGACATGAGCAAGGGCTGTGTAGTGGGAGACAATACATCCATTCAGTCAACCATATTTATTAAGTGCCTTATCAATGTTCTAAATGCTTTGAGTGTGGCTGATGTTTTTCCACAGGAAGATAAGAAACTGACACAGCAGTTTCATTTGCATTAAAGACGCTTCCTGCTAGGAAAAAAAAAAAAGGACGTTCCCCAAAGTAACTCACAGGGTATTTGGCATGTATTTTCAGCTCTCCTTGGCTAGAAGGCAGATACTTCTGTTAGAAACACTGAAGGTGAAGCAGGCCGTTCTGGACCCAATCCCTCCTTCACTGAAGCTGCCCATTGCTGTCAGTTGCTACTGGTTGCAGCACACAGAGGCCAAGGCAAAGCTACATCATCTACAGGCCTTACTGCTGGGGATGCTGATGGGGCCCTTGCATGCCATAATCCACAGCCCTGGTAGGTATCTAGAAATTCCAGGAGTATATTTTTGCATGTTACTTGCATATAATCAAAAGTTTAAACAAACAAAAAATATTCTTGGATTATATACTCCCATCAGTTATATCAGAACTTTGAACAGGAAGCACCAAAATGTCATTCATTCACTGGTAAATATTTGTGAGCACGTCTGTGTGCCAGGCTCAGTGCTGAGGGGCTGACTCCGAGGGCAGAGCAGTGAAGATGTGCTGACACCACCTCATCCCACCTGCGCCGTGGCACCCGACGCTTTAATCTAGGAAGTGTGACTGTGCCATGTGCCAGCTGCATTTTGTATTCCATGTTCCCCATCCCTGTCCCTGTCATCAATACAGCAGCTACATCATCATTAGAAAGTTATAGAAATTGCCCACTGGTGAAATTTCTGAGTACCGTATAACTACAGTAAACGTGTTTGTGCTGTCTTTTTACTTTCCTTTTTCTCTACCATAAGTTTCAATTAGTATGTAAGTAGAGATGATAGAAATAGGAACTTTTCTTTCTAGAGAAATATACTTTGAGGCAGTTTCATCTGCATTTAAATATCAGGTGAAATAAATGTTCATGCACTGGAGCACTTCAATTCTCCAATGGAATTATTCTCTTTAAAAGATCATGAATGCTGTAATACTTTATGTGAACATGTATAATAGTTATCACACTCTAGAACAGTACTATCAATTATGATAGCTACCAGCCACATGTGGCTATTTAAATTCAGCTTCTCAATGACACTATAGCCACATTTCAAGTGCTCAGTAGCCACATATGGCTGGAAGCTACTGTACTGGACAGTGCAGATACAGAACATTTCCATCACTGTAGAAAGTTCTATTGGATAATGCTACTCTGGAGTTTACTTTGTAAAATAAGTTAAATGAAAGAATGAACCAGCATAAACTTCCAGCCACCCCAAGTGTGAGAGCAGCTGTCAGAGGGACTGTTGTTATATTGACAGCCACCTTAATGCAGAACAAATAAGTTAAAGCCTACTACTGGTTAAGATACAAGTTTAGGGTATTTCCTCTCATTGAATAATAAACATAGTTTAAGAAATTCTCAGAGCACAAGCCTATTAAGTTTCTACCTGAGTCCAACAGAAGGGGCATGTCAAGGGTCTGTTTCTTTTCTTTTAGGAATTGTGGACCCCGCACCCAGGCAGGCTCAGTGCCTTGCTGCTCGCTAATTGGTAAAAGGTGGGCCTCCTTTTTATTTCTTTTGAGTTGGTCCAGATGTCATTTTGCGCTCCTGCTCAAACAAACCTGCAGAAGCTTGTAGCTGAACACACATCGCATCCTTTGTTTCCTAGGGTTCTTGCTTCTTGCCCCTTATCCTCTACTGTGTGAAGTTGATGGTTTGCCACATTCTCTATGAGTCATACTTTTGATTTCTTCCCATAAAACACAAATTAAAATGTGCTTTGAACACAGAGGCTGTTTCTGTAAGTGCACTATCGCATGAAAGGAAGGTTAGTGAAAGAGAACAGTAAAGAGAATGATATTTAATAGTAATTTGTATTTTCCATAGAGACAGATTTAGGGTTTGGAGAGTTCAGATGCAGATGTGTTTAAAGTCAGGTAGCAGAAACTGGAAGAGATATTATTTTAAGGAAAAAAATAATTTGGAGTTGAATAAAGTTAGGTTGTCATTAAAAGGCATTTCAGTATAAATATTTCAATTTATACAGCAAGGCTTTTACAGTGACGTTAAAATAGTAAAGAGCCAGAAGAGAAAAGCATTTTGTTATTTAAACTAATTTTTTCCCTATGGAATTTGAAGTTTTATATATGGAGAAAATTACAAGCAGATACAATGTCTTTGAAAATACTGCCCTTGGGTTGTTTCTTTATCTAGATAAGGAAGATCTGCGGGAGGATGGTGCTAAGATGTTGTACGAAGAGTTCCAAAGAGTGAAGGAGCAGACGAGGCCAGGAACGAGACTGGATTTAGACACAGCTCACATCTTCTCTCAGTGGCAGTGCTGTCTGCAGATGGGGGTGTATCTCAACCAGCTGCTGTCCACGCCTCTCCCAGAGCCAGACCTAACTCGGTAAGCACCAAGGGAAACTAGTTCAGAAGGCTGCACACAGAAGTAAAAACTTTATTTATATTTAAAGCAAAGAAGTTATTTTCAAAAATTAATTTTAGTATAATTTGTCTTAGATCACTACTATACTTGAAGAGCTGGAAACAAGGAAAAATATTATTTTCATATTCCCAAAGAAAGTTTCTGTGATTAGACCAAATGTTAAAAAATCAGTTCCTTTAAAGTAAAAGTAAAAAAAGAGGCAGTTGTTGGTGGGATATATCTTACTCATTCCCTCATTTCTTTCAGGTCTTTGTTCAAATATTACTTTATAAGGGCTGTTTCTGATCACCGTACTGAAATATTCCTCTCTACTTCCAGTCACTCTAGTTCTGTTACTCTTTGGTATTTTTCTAAGTGCATTTCTTACCACTGGCATATTGTTCACTCATTCATTCAAATATTTATTAAATGCCTACTTTGTGCTAGGGTATAGTGAACAAAACAGTAAGAAAAAAAATCTCTGCTGTCTTGGAGTTTTTATTCTAGTGAGATGACTATTAGATGCTTAAGTGAACTTTATCTAGAGTTTTTGTTTTGCCAGGCAAGTATGAAAAAGGGAGAGGTAGCCTGGATGCCAGGAAGTGATTGTGTTTGACTATGGCGTTTAAGCTGAATAAAAAAGAAAGGACCGCAGTAGGGTGTAGGCCAGTGAAAAAGTGGTAGGATCAATGGATTGGACATCCCGGTGATTGTCCATCCATCCAGGAGGTACGAGAGAAAGATACAAGGGAGATGGTTAGAAAATGGAGCTGAGATTGTATATATGCTTTCTCTCTCTCCACTTGAATGGAAGCACTGTGAGGACAGCGACTTGTCTACTGTTGTAGCCCCAGTGCCTAGCATACAATAAGTACTGAAATATTTGTCAAATGAATGAGTGATATATAGAGGCATACAAAATATGCTGGTGTGACTTCCAAAATTTCCAGGTGAAAAGGTTCCTAGCAGTAAATAGTATTGTTAATACATCTCTGGGCCTCATATCTGAGCTAACCGAAGAAGCCTCTACCAAATAAGACTAATTGGCCTTTGACCTATGGATTCTTTATTCCTTTTCTTTAATAGTTTAGGTCATTCTTGACAGGATCCTCTCTACTTACCATAAATCCCTTTAAAACAAAACAGGAAAAACAAGACGAAACAGTTCTCATAATAATGATTTCAAGAGAAGGATTGTTCTTGCACCTCAGCATTTACCAAGGCTTTTTAAATGGTGATCTTCCACTAATTATATGATGGTCCTATATCAATTGCTAAGGCACCAGTCGATCAACTCTGGCAGTCAGTTATATATTAAATTTGTGGCTTCCAGTAAATCCCATCTTATATTTTTGAAGTAGGTTTTTAGTCCAGGTGAATGAATGACCTTGGAAACAATGCCATTAAATTTTCTCATATTTCAACAGACTGCCTGTTTGGTTCATCAAAGGAATTTTTAATTGCTTTTCTTTGAAGTATTAAGAGGCCTGCTCAACTTCAGGCTAGTTGCAGAACCAGCAAGCACCTCTCATTTAATTTGTTGATAAAAAGTTTTTAAATACTGCCAGCCAAGAAGAAGTAATCTTTGTAATAACAACTCAGTTCCTTCCTTCAGGGAACAGATTCTTCTTAAGTAATTTTAATAACAGTTTTATAGAAGCAAGAAGAGCACTCAGTGTTTAGAGGCATTTGTTGGAGCCACGTCAATGATAGTGTCCCAGTGCACCAAACCTGTGCTTTAACAACACCCTTTTCTCTCCTATTGAGCAGGTTGTACAGTGGAAGCCTGGTGCATGGATTAAGCCGACAACTGCTAACAACAACCTCTGCAGAAAGTCTCCTGAGCATGTGTTCTGAGGCAAAGCAACTTTATGACCATCTGTTCAATGCCACGAGGTCACATGCCCCTGCTGAATTATTCCTACCAAAGGGTAAATCAAACCCCAAAAAAAAGAGGCAAAAGAAACGCGGTACCAGCTGGTCAAAGAACAGACTGGGAGCCACCTCAGACACTAGATGTTGGTATGAGGGAAGCAATCGGTTTGGGCTGTTAATGGTTGAAAACTTGGAGGAACATATTGAGACCTCAGAGTTTGAATAAACTCAGTCTGTAACCAGATGTCTAATTCTTACTTAAAATTTTTCTGTCACCTCCCTTGAAATGATTAACTTTTTTCTTTAGAACTAACCTGTTAGGAGATAAACATTGCAATAGGTAACCTTTGAATTCCAAGTTATTTTGTATTTTGCTTTTAATAAATACAACCTGATTTGAGAAACTTCTGTATTTCTTAAACACATTTGAAAGCATGTTTGTACTTCTTGTTCCATTTCAGTAAGTTAATAATAATAGTCTAAAACCTTTAAATTGCAGAAACTCATCCAGCTATGTTTTCAAAAGAACAGAAGTCCTACTTCAATTATTTCCTATAAGCAGAAGCTGGGTTATTATTTCAAAAACAATTTTTTTACAACTGTTTCCTCTTCATCCTTTATCATGAAAGGTCTGGGCCTTAGAAGATAGTAGTAAAGATGCAGACAGAAAACTATAATACCTTTGAGAACTCAGTAAATGAGACTGGCAGGGTTGATGTGCACTTTAGATATGCTGCAGGTTTTAAAGCATAAATTGAAACTCTAATGCCCCAACAAAATAAGAAACAGCATCCTGAGCTGCTAGATCTAGAGGAGAAGGAAAAACTAAGAAGAAATTAAAATATTAGAGATATATGCAGCAATAGCAGAATCTAGGCCATTTTTTTTTATACTGCAGGTTTTGACCCATTTATGGGATGTGAGATTAGGGAGTCATAACCAGCAGTTTTTAAAAGGAAACTATCAGATACGCATATATTTTAGATCTTTGTGCAAAATGAACTTCTTAGTGTGGATTGCAGTCAAAAGACTATGAAAGGCACTGCTCTGGAACACACTAGAGGCTGCTAAAATCATAAATACCAAGAGAATTGTGAAGGTGCTGGCCAGTTCCAAATAAAGAACTTAAAAATAAAAAAGAAAGTGGAATGAATATATTTGGGTAAGATCTGAAAGCATATTCTGACCTTCATTTTATTTGTAATCATACAAACTGTGTTCTTCCTTTCTTCTCTACTCCCTCACTAGTGTATTCCACCAGTGATAACCCTAAACGTGGTTTTAAGCTGCCATTTTGACCAGGGCTATGTTCAGTTCCTAACGTCTGGTAAACAATTCTCTCCACTTTCCTAGAAGTACCATACTCTTAGAGGAGTAAGCCCAGCTTTGGCCAGTGCTAAATACACACCTCCCAAGTGTTGACTAGCTTTAGCCATTTACAAAAGGCAAAAACACAATCTCATTTGCTCCAAAAGTTTTCAACCTTAAAGACTGCCTTCTGTTTCAAATAAGAGTTCCTGAAATAAGGAAATTTTTGTTTATTATTTTAGGAGGAATGAATGGGGCCCTGTGGTAAGGTTGTTTTTATGTCCCTAAAGAGATGGTTATTCTCAGAAGAATCAAGAAAAGAGCAGTCATATGCATCTATTTTTGAGAAGATAGGTATCTTTCAAGCAAATGGGGACTACAAGCACATAAGATCTTTGTTTTATCAAAATTCTCTTTTCTTTGATTCCTGGAATTAGGGGCCAATCTGGAAATTATACCAATATGAGTGTCCTATTTCCTGGCTCATCATCAACACTGCTTTTTAAAATCACCAACCTTGCACGAAAAACCATTCATTCCCGCTTCCTCTTGAGCAAATAACTGGTTTGACAGGCACCAAACGGAAAAGTGTATGGGCTACAGAGTTTAATTAAAAGTCAACTGAATTTTATCATTCATCTTTTTCTTTCATTAAAAGGAGTTTTTCAAGCAAAGTAGCCCTCCCTTCAGTAGACGTAACAAGTCGGGTTCCCTTCTCTAGCCATTGCAATCAGGGCCATTCACTTGAAATTACCCAGCCCTGCAGTAAAGGAGTTAAAATCTCATAATGTCCATTTACTTATACTCTCTGTGAGAATTCAGGAAAGTTACCTACCCCGGGATATATCTTCTGTATGTATTAAATGAGAGGTCACAAGCCCTCCACGAGGTATCTGAGGGGGTTTACCAAAGAAATATGACACAGCACCTGACCCTCCAGTCATACTTGTGTAAGGTGCTGGGGAGACACCACACAATGAATTAAGTGAACAATTCATGAAGTAATCTGTCAGGTGCAAAATGGCGCAGTGCAGACTGAATGTTACAGTAAGAAGACAGTAATTACTAGGATGGTTTTTTTGTTGTTAGTGCCATCAAACTGATTCCGACTCCTAGCGACCCTGTGGACAGCAGAGTGGAACCCTGCGTGGTCTTTTTGCACCATCCTCTCCCCTTCCAGCACTGTACCAGACGTGCTCCACTGCTTTTCATAGGGTTTTCAAGGCCGATCTTTTCAGAAATTGGCAGCCAGGTCCTTCTTCCTAGTCTGTCTAGTCTGGAAGCTCTGCTGAAACCTGCCTACCAAGGCTGAGCCTGCTGGTATGTGAAAAACTAGTGGCATAGCTTTCAGCATCACAGCAACATGCAGCCACCCAGTATGACAACCAACAGACGGGTGGTATGATTCCTGACCAGGCAACAACCGCAGGCTACAACAGTGAGAGCACTGAATCTTAACCACTAGACCACCAGGGCTGGCTTTGCCAGGATGAGGAGAGGTTAAATCAGAGGATTCTCAGATCTGGCTTTTGAGCTTGGCTGTAAGAGACAGGGATGTAATTCAGATGAGGTAGAGGAGGCAGTGGAAGCACCTGTGTAGAAGCAGAATGCAGTATGTCCTGTATTCCTTTTGGAAAAACTGTTTCCTATGTTTTCAATCAAGTCTTTAGGTCTTCCTCTTTCTGATTCAGTTCTAGCTAATGAAATCTCACCGGAGGCTTTGGAATATGTTTTTAATTAGCAGTTTAAGTAACAAAAGGAACTCTGGATAGCAAAGATGAATAAATTTTAGGAATAAAATTGGAGAGAGAAAAACACTATAATGTAAT